TTATCTCTAGACATCCAATTTGGGCCCTTCAGAAATCTTTTAGAACGTCCTGAATTGGTTTGGGATTTATTTATGTTGCAACGGGTCAAGGGCTAACAAGTGCTTGGCCACCAGAAAAGCGGACCGAGACACTGGATGGCCGGACGTGCTGGTCGTCTGACCAGGCCAGCCCTGCTTCTGGCAGCGCGGTGAGACACGCAGAGCCGATGACAGGCACGGATCCTCAAGTGGGATTGTTTCGACTGGCCAATTGAAAACTGGAACCACGTGAAACCTTTCTCTCAATGCAAATCAGATGGGCTTGGCATCCATCTACTACATTGCATGAACAGTTGACTTGCCCTGAAAATCAGCCGTTGCAATTCACCATGTCGCAAACATATTTTAACATGTGTATCTAGACTCATTGACCATTTGTCCAGTGGGATTTGAATGGTTTCCCTTATGAATCATTCCAATCGATTTCTTGGTCCACCCAGCACCTCGCAGTTCCTTGCCAGCAGGGACCATTGCGGACTGGGAAGAAGACGGCGGACCGTGTACGTTCGCGTGCCCAGGAGCCAGGGCGACCAGGCAGATGGACCTGTACCGCCTTTGGTGTTGGTTGGAAGCTCAGAGGGTCAGGTGGCAAGCCGAGAGGCATCAAATGTGTGCATTGTTTGGAACATGTGTCCCCCTTAGGCCTCCAGTCGTACCTGAGAAAGTGTTTGGGGTTTGGAGGGTCCAAATGAGGAGGTGCTTGGAGGCCTAGTGATATAGGAGAGGTTTAAGAAGCATTGTTCCCGGATTAATGAACATATTCCATACATGGACGGTGGGGGAATTAGCATATGGAAACAAGAATTCTGTTCATCACCTTGATTTTGAGACAAACCGTTGTATGTCAGTCTCCCACAACAATTGCAACCGTTCCGTCCAACAGTTCCGTCCAACATGGACTGGAACAATCTTTGACCAATCAACCGACCAACCAACCAACCAACCATTCCTCACCTCATTCCTGATTCCTCATGCGAACCTCCGCCTTCGCTCAGACCATCGCCTTCGCTCTGACCCCCAGGTCTTGACCATGGGCATGTTCTTCGGCAGCGGTCCGACTCCTTCGCCCACGTCCATTCCACCGGGCCTTCCATCTCTGGAGGCTGAGCGACGACTGACGCCGCCCGCGGCGACGCAGACGCACACGCGGCGGTTGGGAGCAGACATGGTCTTTAGATGGTCCTTGTAATTAGGACTTGCCAAGATCATCCCAAACCTATTGGTCCTCGCCAAATTGAGTCAAGTGGGACACAGAATTCCTCAATTAGGATTGAAACATGGTGATGATTTTGGAATAAGGCTTTTGAAGACCGTTATGAGGAACCATGCCGAAACAAAGGGGGCCCATACTGAGCAAGAAAGTAAGGCGGCCAAAGCGGTATGCCCTCCAGAAGGTCCCGGAGACCAATGCATGCACCATGAGAACCAATCAAAGCCTATAGATCCCAGACACCGCTTTTTGGTGGCTGCTATGGCTGAAGAGCCACCGAATTCCATATGATCAGTTGCCCCCCCAAACACTTCGTTTCAGCGAACCCCCCAAGCCGTTCGCCCATCGCGACCCATCCCCATCGCTCGCTACCCTCCCGGATCGTTCTTTCGGTCCCCCGCAGGAAGCGGCACGGCCGGGGTGCCTCGGAAACGGCGCGCCCCATGCGGATCCAGCCCAGCAGGTTTCCCAGATCCATGAACAGTCGAGGACGCTAAGAAGATCAAGGATCCCCCAAGAATGTAGCAGAACTACGCAGAACTTATGCCAATAGCAGTACATTATAATAAGATTGGATATCCCGTCATTGGTTGCGGCAAATGTAGATCACCCGAAACCTTGGCAACGCGCATAAGTCCACCGGAAGGGGTTCCGATGAACTTCCCAAGGACTATGGCATGCGATGGTTCTCGGAATGTCCCGTTTCGACTTCACCTCAACATCGGTGAAGTTCACAGTCCTGACTTGAACCAACCTAACACCCTGAGTCAGGTCCGGAAGGTGATGGACCGTCCGCTCCTGGCCCTGGGCGAACTACCACTACTCATACTACTCTACGCTGCTCGTGGCTCTGAAACAACCACTAGCGGTCGCCGAGGCGACGGCCCAGGTTGGATGGCCAAGACGATCGAATTCGGCAAAGCTTTTTCAGGTTGCAAAACGTGGTGCGGTGCGTCAATTTTCTACGTGGCGCTTCCGCGAAGCACTGTGCTTCGCGCCTTTCATTCCTTCACCACTCGCTCTAGATGGTCCTTGTATCAGGTTGGAATGACACTTTGGGGCTATGTCTATCTCACAAAATGGTCAGATCCATCGCTTGTTGATGCGTGTCCCGGCCACGCTTGTCCCTTCACCACACCATCCGCGCTGGTCGGCGGAACAGCGGTGTGACGTGATGTGACGTGTCATCGCCGGTGACGTGTCGCCTGACGTGTCACCTCCATTTGAGGCACGTCAACCTGCAGAATGACGTGGTCATACGCTCCCATTCAGGCGAGAGCGTTGACATTCTTGGGGGAAAACATGCGTTAAGGTAAGATGTTGATAAGCCAATTGAACAAGGGAGCCAGTGTGATTGTTGCAATTTCCAAACATGCATGCCTCAATGATAGCCTCAATCCAAGCATGTTGCACTATATATATAGTTATATATATATATTTGTGTTTGTCGACTGCCACCCAGACACCACTAGGTGTTTGGTACTGCTGCCAACTAACTGACTCCTGTAGATGTTTGTGTTGCATTGTGAGCCGATTGCATACTCTAGATGTCGCTGCAACTTCTGCCTAAAGGAAGGCAGATAAAGAGACAAAGAGACAGACCGGGTGGCCTGGCACGCGGGCAGGTGATGCCCCTTGAAGTGGTCTCGTTTACAGCACACTAGCTGGGAATAGCTGCTAGCAGCGTCACAGCCTGCCTTCAATCCACAAGAGCCTGATCAAACAGAATACATAAATGGTCATGGTCACATAATCCGACTTTACGTTGGTGGCCGCAGTGGCTGCCTAGCAAGAGTAGTGGGACGCGTTGTGTTGCAGTCTTATACACATGAAGGATGTGAAGGTTGTGCCAGTTCTTTAGTTGAAAAGTAACGAAGAAGTTTATGAACTTATGAACATGGATTTTGTGAAGGCAGCTGCTGTGGGTTTTCTGCACGCTTTCAGATCTTCCTGATTTCAATGGCCCAGAATGGGCCAGGCATGGCTTTCTAGAGCAATTTGTGGCAACTGATTTGTTGCAGAAGTTTGGTTTGCTGATTCAGAATATGTGTATTATATATATATATATATATTGGTGGCTTTAAGTTATTACAATGTTTGTTTTGCCTTGCTTTTGGAACAAGTTGGTGTGGAAGAGTAGTTGGAGTTTGGAGTCTAGAACATCTATGAAGCCATGCCCGGCCCTTTGGCAAAACTGATGCCACCCCATGCACAGCTGCACCATGCTGTGCAGACAGATCGAGTATCACAAGTTAACCAGTCGCTCAACTGCTTGAGAACAGCCACCTGACAGATGCAGATCCACCAGATGCAGACAGGAGTCCAACATGGTCTGACTGACTCAGAACCAGAGAGGACACCGTTGCAGACCATGTTCTCAAGCGAAACCTGCGGGCCAAAGATGACGAGCGTGAGCGACCCCAAGGTGCTGCCATCCCCAAAGATCAGCCGATTGAGTTTCGATGATGTCATAGAGTTGCAGAACATGATGGAAAGACTGGAACGATATGTTTCCCAAAATGCTGATAACCACTGTACTACGTCCTACTCTACGTCCTATACACAATATACATATATATATATGTGCATGTGAAGATTGTTGGCACACAAAGCCGGCGACATGAATGAACAAGTTTGAGTGAGACTGGCTTTGACATCATGGGCTGGGGCTACAGGAAATTCCATTGCAACACCAATGGCTCTAAGGCGGTTGAAGTCGGTTGAAGTCCACTTTCTATTATAATGCCGCCCATGTCGTCCATAGGGTTTTGGCAGTGACAGTGACCAAGAACTTATATATTCTTTTGTTTTCAACCAAAAGGATGTATGAAATGAAGGAGTCACCCAATGCTACCGGAGGGCTAGCACTGTGTCTCAGAGATGTGGCCATCCGATTCGTGGCAGACACTGCCGCGTAGCACGCGACACGTCGCGTGGTTAAGCGCGCGGGCGGGTCGAAAAGGAGGTCGGTGGTTTCGGGAAGCTGCAGGGCCGGTTCATGTAGACGAATGAAACTAAGCTAGAGATTGGAGTTGCATCAGGAGTAGTGCAGGAGCTGAAGTACAGGAGTAGTGTAGAAGGAGCCACCGGAATGTTCATTCTGTTTCACTAGTGCAGGACATGTGTTTCTTCCGCACTTCAAAAGGCTGTGTTCCAGGAACATCTCATCGGGCAAACAGGAACATTATGGGACCGTGGAGTCTTGCGATGTACCTCGGTCCATGAGCACATCGCAATTCAGGCGCCGTTTCTGGCTTCGTATTCCTGGGCCGTTTCTGGCACTCAAGTAAGGAAGATACATGATAGAATTAGAATTAGAATACATTATATAGAATGCAAATCAAGGATACCAAGGGTTATCAGAGCTGAAAGTGGGTCATCCAGATGTCCAATGTGATCCATTCATTACAATTTGGCTGTTTAATTTATATATATAATCATATGACTGGATCATCCTACGATGTCCTTGATGCAACTTACAGCTCGGTGGAGATGGTACTGGTAGCTGCCAAGTCAGGATCCCTTTTGCCGAACGACGACCGAACGAGTAGCAGAATCCTAGAATGGAAGGACGATGATGATGATGCGGCCCCTTAGGCCATGTGAAAGCGAGGCCATGTGAATCCTTTAGACCTTAGACCTCACCCCCCCTCTTGGACAATGAACGGTGACTTTTCAACTACATGTCTTGCTTGAAAACCGCAAGGAGAGACTTGGACAGAGAAGGTTCCCAAGAAATGCATTGGATCACCCAAGACTCACGGAGCCGTAGTCTCATCGTTTCACCATGAGACACTGGAGATGCCAGCGCCATCTTTGCATGTGACACTGGAGCGGCTGGCAGGGCCGCCGCAGACGCTAAAGCTGGTGGGCTGCGAGACCGGTGGTCAGCTTCTCCAACAGTTGGAGCTCATCGAAGCTCGGATGTGGGGAGGCATGCCAAACGATGGATTTCCGACTTAAGTTCCTGATTTGTGTAGGGAATAAATAAACACTATGACACATCCTAATTGTGCGTCCTAGTTGGTTTCATTCAACCCCAACTTCCAGGCAGTCCAACACTGCCTGGATTCCGCACAGTCCGTCCGAAGACGGAGGCGGCAAGGCACATGAGCAAAACACGCTTTCTCATCACCACCCTTACTCAAGCTGCAGCTTGCAGTCCAAATCGCGGACCCAGTTTGACATGCAGGCCCTTGGAGGGTAGGCGGCACTTCTTGATGGGCCAAGATGGGCCAACCAAGTCTCAATAATCACCATGACACGGCCAGCCTACGAGACAGTCCGAGCTCGGACAGTTTGGATGGTCGCGTTACTTCAATGTGTTTTTCTCAAGTCACTTGTGGACTTGTTCTTTTTCCGCTCCACTTCGTGACAAACCCAAGTGAGTTTCGACTTCGGTTGTCACTTTGGCTGTGATCACTTGGCCTCGCCCCGCTGCCACACTTTTTCAGGACCGCACGGCGGCCGCGTCGTGGCTCTATGGTGGCTTTCCGCTGCTGGAGGGGGAGCAGTTGAAGGGGGAGATTACTCTGAAAGAGGCTGGGACCAACGTGCCCAAAAAGGGTGGTTTTGGACCCTGGGCACCTTTCTTGGTGAGGCTCTGAAAGTGAGCGAAACATGGGGGGGGTTCTGTGGATTCTGTGGAACGGCAGGGGGGGGTTGGGATCGTTTGGGATGAGATGTGTTGAGACCCTTGCGGGGTACTCGTTGATCTGGTCCCGCTTTGTTCCACTTGGCATGTTTGGAACTCATAGAGCTTTGCCGTGCAGTATCCTTCTAGAACCAACATGGATTTTCAGACTGATGAGGCCTGGTAACTGTACTGGTTTTGAGCCTGAATGCAGCTAGAGTCTCAGCCTGGAGGTCCTACCCTGGAGAGATTGGACGTCTTGGGATGGAGATGAACTCTATCAGAGACGTTTGGATGCTCGGCAGAAGATGATCTTCGATGAGCGATTCTATCGAAACCATGGTTTGGGGCACGGCTTCGTTCGGTCACTGATTCGACATGTCAAATTCCAGATATGACCTCCATGAATGAGCGCACGGTTCCTGTGAGTCTCCTTGCAAACACCGGTGTGCGTCGTTGTTGCGATTCATTGGCATTTCACCCTCGCTCGTTGCCTTGTAGAAGCTCGCGCAACGATAGGAACTGGAGGTCAATGTGCGTAACATTCTTTGTTCGGTATCCCAATGCTACTGTTGATGAATGGAGGAACCATTTGGAAAAGGGGCAATTAACAACTGCGTATTGACGGTTTTGGGGGAAGTTCTAGATTTAGGGGCGGTGCTAGTGCTTTTCTGCTACTGTTTCCAGGGCTCCAACTGCTCTTGACAAGTTTTGTGTGAGTGTGTGCGTGTGTGTGTTTTTCTTTGGGGGGGAGTGGAGGGGGCTAGCTTCTGAGCGTGTTGCCTTTCTCGCAGTCTCAGGAGCAGCTGGCATCCAAGAACTCCTTGGCAGAGAGACAGCTGCGGACTACACGGAGCCGACCGCCGGATCTGAGCCTGGTATGTTGTGCCTCGGGTCCGCAGCGTATCGCCCTGCTGGAAGGAGATGAATCACTGACTCAAGTCCTAAAAAGGTTTTGGGCAGTGGCTAGAGCCTATTTGTGAACTGCCTGGAATTGTTTCGGCGACGTATAGTATGTCCGTGGGCCCTGGTACGAGTGGCCCTTAGGTTTAGTAGCTGACAATAGCTCCCAATTCATCCTGTCACACAGGGCTTTGTAAGCATCATCGCGTGGACCCAAAGCAACAAAGAGGTGCTTTTCCATATCTTCTTGGTTGGAGGGTGGTAGGAAGAAAGCATTCCCAGAGAAACTTCGGGATCTGAGGAGGCTTAGGCTCATTGATGATGAGAAACATCAGGATTTGTACAAATTAAACACACCCCAGACATCCTCAGGCCGCTTCGACCGCCAGACCGGACGACGCGGTCACCGGGGTCGTTGGGGCGGCCAGACCGAGGTGGCCAGACCGAGACAGTGTGGCTCTATGCGAACTCTGATCAGTTGGCACGCGGATTTACGAGCTTCACATGGAGGGGCCCGGAAGAAGGGGGGGGTCCGGAGAGGAGGCTAAAAGGGATGGGTGTGGGGAACGAAAGATTAGTGTTCTTGGCAGAGTGACGCCATGACGAAGGAATCATGATGAATCATAGTTTTGTTTTTCAACGAACATACCGGCCGAAAGGAGGCGGAGGAGGTGGATTTCCTAGGATATGTTCCAGGTCCGGTAGTCTCTCCAGTTTTCCAGTTTGAGGGGTTTTGAATGTTATAAGTCAACCAAATCGTTTGAGGTCACTTACGGGGTTCCCAAAAGGTCGCCTTTGAAGAAGCTGCATAAACTTGTTGAATTGGATGAGTGCCCTGGAAGCTCTCAGGTGGTTCGTGTTCGCGGAGGTGCCACGCGGTACCTGGTACGTAGATCGATCGGAGTTTCCCGCGTGCGCCAGCTGAACATGAGCCTCTTGATGAGATCGATGGCATTACATGCCTGTTACTGAGCCTTTGTTTCTTGGACTGATTTTTTGTCGAACAGTGTGTTTCTCGTAGGAGACGGCTGGTCTTAGAGCTGATGGGCCTCCAGTTCAGTGGCAACAACACTGGCAAGCTGCTTCAGCTCAAACAGACCCAGAGGGACTTGGACAGCTTGGCACATGCAAGGCAGCAGGCCGGGATCATTGATCCCAAAAGCGGCTTGGTACGGTGTTTTTTGAATCAACTGTATGGTGGCTTATGCAAGAAATGGTTCATCTGAAGCATGGGAATGAACCATGCAGTTGATACCATACAGATAATTACTGTATTTTGGAATCAACCATCTGTGTCTTTGAAATGGTTCATCCCATTTCCCACGTATGCCACTTGCTGTGATGCAAAAGGCAGGAAAGACGCATCGAAAAAAAACCGAGCAGTGGACGCATGCTGCCGCTTCCATGTCGTGTTTTTTTCACAGATGTTGAAACACCGCACCAGTGTCCGACCAGAGAAAACATATGCGGCGTTTGGCCGATATACATGTTTACCTGAACAAATCAATGTATGTATAAACACATGCATTTTTGCGGATGTTTTTCTTGCGAGCCCAGGTGAGAGGCTAAAAGTTCAGTGGCCTTTTGGCGAACACTCGCGTGAGGAGGTCCAAGAGGCACTGGCCAAACGGCTTTTGGTGCTGAAAGAGGCAGGGGGAGATACCCTGGTGGGATGACCACGGTGGGTCATGTGGACATTTGAGTAAACAAGTGCCCAAATCTGTGAACGACCATCCAGGGAGAGGAGGTTGATTGTATAGCCACATTGAGACTTGAGACCATATGATTCCCTGTCAGTGACCGCCACGGTGCTGTGGTGCAGCTATGGTTGTAGAATGTTGTAGGATTCGCCGTTGCGACCCCAACTTGGTCCTGATTTGGGCTCATGGGTGTCCCAGCCTCATGGTCTACCCTTTGTTTGGGAGGTTCCTTTCGTGGGCCCAAGGTGCATATCCCTCAGGACTTGAGAAATTGCCCATGCAGCCAACTCAAGATCCGTGTTTTTTCATGATCCTCAAATTTTCAGTGACCCCCGAAGCAGGTGGCGAAAAGAGGGCTTTCCACCCTGGGTCAAGGCTGTTTCGAGGGTCACTCACCTCCTGGGAAGGCGGCGGCAGCGGCCGACTCGAGCGCGACTCCTTCACAGCGTAGAGAGATGGCGGTCGGGAGCTCAGGGTGGACCTTGCCTTACTGCGACCAACGGGGCTAACTTGTCAGAGGTGAGATGTTCTAGCGATTTCTAGTGCACCATATAGTTATATAAGTTGCAGTAATTGTTGGGAAGGGTGCCCGCATGGGGCAAGCCCTTCAGGTATTTAACTTGCTCGGTAAGAGACAGTTTTGGGGTCTTACGTTCCCTCACCAAGTGACACTGCTACAAAGTGGCAGCCTGGATGGAAAGGGGGTGGGTTGCAACTGGCATTCGCTCTTGGCCTACCATGTAGTACATGGATCATTCGACCCCGGGTGTGGGCCATTGGCTCGGGACCTAGTGGCATCCTGGTTTCCACCAGGCTTGAGGGGTGAGATGTTGGAGCGGGATCATGGTTTCCAGGCACTTTCTTTAGCTTAGAGATGGAATGTTGTGAGTGTGTTGTGCAGTAATGTCAACCTGACATTTGCATCAATAGTAATATGGTATTTGGCCTGCCTGGATTTTGCAATACTACTTTTTATTGCGCCAACATCCAGGCCCCAAAATGGATAAAACAAAATGGGCGGGTCAATTACAAACATGAGACAATCATAATCAAAATCATGTTTTTCTCTCAGATCACAATTTGCCTTCAGAATGCTTTCTCTTTTAGTTGCGTCTCAGAAATCTCAGGCAGACCTAAAAGAAAACAAAGAACATCTCCTGTTCCTTTTCTTTTGTTCTTCTTCTTGTTATTCTGTCTTTTTCTTTTGTAGGATCCTTTTTCATCTTTGCCCATCAGATTTCCAAAAACTTTGGCTAGCCAAAAGCTTTAGCAAACAAATATATACAACATAATTATCTTCCTTTAGACTCCTACCCCTACAATTATAAACCAACATACAATAATAAACCGACCCCCTTGCAGCCCTGTTGGCTTGTTAGTTATATTGCGCGTTCCCTTTTACTTTTAATCTATCTTATCTTTGTCCTGCTCCTGTTCCTTTCTCTTTTGTTCAAAATGAAAGCAACATGAAAGCAAATGGCCTGGAAGTTTACAATTGCGATTGAGATGTTTGACCTCCAAAACAAAATACTAGTTTTTTTTCCATAGGGGTTTACAAATGCGAAGTTAACATTAGATGCCAAAATTCGTCACACCATGTCACACCTTTGGAAATCATAATAAGAAAGCTTGGGTTCACAACCCCGTGGCATACCCTAAGAATGCAAACTTTACCAGAAATCCATCTCCCGGAATCCAAAAGTCCTTCCACTCGCACCAGTGATCCATGCACCTTGGAGTTGTGTGCATCGTGGAGTTGCTGGATCTCACTCTCCGCCGCCCTGTCCCACACCCGGAAGGACTTGCTGTGCAACCTGGGCGTGGTCCTCCTGCTGAAGGCGCCTCCCTCGCTGGAGGATCTCCATCGCGCTGTGCAAATTCTCCAGCAGAGCTCTGAGCTGGAGCCGGAGGCAGATGCTCGGGACGAGGGGTGAAACTGGAGGGAGGAATGCCGAGGTTGCTTGTGTTCTGTTTTTCTCTGGCGCTGCGTGCCAGAAGGGAAGGGTGGTTTGAGAAGGGAAGGAGGTGAGAGGTATTGATAGGTGACAGTGGCTAAAACAAACTGGTTTTTGTATGTTTTTTGTGTTTTGGAGGTTCAAAGGTCGTGTGAATGAACCGCCCTAGAACTACGGAACAAGAGATTGTTAATTAATACCCAGACACTCCATGTATGACATATTGCCTACATTGACCACCAAAACCACCGGAATGTAGGCATATATATATATATGGCATTCTGGGATGCAGTATGTTTTTCTCGTGCACTCACATGAATTCGATGGTTTCCAGTGGGGGGGCGTTGAGATGGCCTGATCTTTTGACCCTTGTGGGCCACAGGGTGGCCGACAGCGTGTTTTTGGGATTGATAGGTGAACCTCGATGAGTGCATTTTGGACATAAACTTCCCAGGTTTTGCACCCAGCATCCACTAGCTGGTGAGGATGGGATATGGATTCAAGGGGCAGCTGGCCATAGGCTGGTTGGCTGATTATACCATGTCTAGGGTATTTTGAGGGATCCTCCTTCCAGGACGCACCCAAACCTCCAGCCAATGTATTCTGATGTGTTGTAAAAACAGCAACCTTGGCTTGAGGCCCTACGGCTCCTCCCGATCGTTCTTTTTGAGATCCCCTGCAGTCTCTGCAGTCCCGTTCTTCGGTCTGCCGGAATTCGATTCCCTTGAACGTCTATCATCAGAGGCGGATCCACACTCCGAATCTTCATGGAACTGGAACATGGCTCCCTTTTGGAGAACAGGTGGTGGTTTTCCACTTCCATGATGATTCCAGGAAGCGTTTCTCAGCCTCCAGGGAGCAAACGAACGCCCACGGACACGCAGCGAGTGTGGGTGGATGGTGAGGCCACGGACACGCAACACTTCCTGGAACGGGCGAAGATTCTACTGCGCTGCTTGCAGCCAGAGGATGCAAAAGAGGAAGAGGACGTGGAGGAGATGGCAACCCCCCCGCTTTGTGAGATTGTTTTCTTTTCTATAACTGGGACATTTGCCCGTGGAAGACATTTCTTCCCTACAAACCAGGGACTATCCACTTCCATGTTAGTGAGTCAAAGTCCGAGTCTACAGTCTACATGTGTGTGTTTTTTTTCTCCCCCTCTGTGCATTTACATTAATTATCTGTAGTTGCATGACGGCATGTTTTGAACTTGTGTTGAATATGTTTGAAGATGTTCCACAGAGGGCCAGCATCTTCCACATCTCGGGTATGGATTGGCATGGATTCCGCCAAAGTATGGGAACACTTTCTAGATGTCTTGTGCCACAAGCTGGATGCCACCAATCCCCTGCTTGGAACAGACATTCCCCGGACCCAAAGTGCATCTCACCGGAGGATTCGGAGGAGGCCGAGGCCGACGTCGACCTCACGCGGCGCCGCCCTCTGTGGCGCGAGAACACGTTGGCACCGGACACCTCGGAGAGTCATCGGAGTCGACAGCTGCAGCGGATGTGGCTGAGAACATCCACTGGGACCTGGTTGTGCCACTGGGCTTCGACCAAGAAATCGGGCACAAATCCAAGGACACATTGTGTGGGCATGTGTTGGAGAGAGGTTCAAGAAGGTGCATATTGTCGATCCTTGAAACTAAAGCGAGTGATGTGCATTTCTTTCGACGTGAACTGTTCAAATTTGTTCAAGTAGTCGCAAAGGTGTGTGGGATGCGAATCAGAACCACTTGGGCTGAAACCTGGGAATCTAAGGCAAATTGCGGCGAGCTCCAGTGGTGATTTCTTTAAACCCAGATGATGCATCAGCACCAGATTTGAGCCCTCGATGTGTGGAAGCCATGCTCCACATTTCTTCGATGCTTCATGATGATATTCACCAGGTAGGATCTGGTTTGGCTGGGCTGGTTTGGTTGCTCTTGGATTATGGCTTGCGATGCAACCGATCTGCACAATTGATGGTTTTGATGGCCGTTCGCTTCACGCTTTGAAGAAGCCCCAAAGGAGATGGACATTGTGGAATATAGAACATATAAGTCAATGTGTATATCATATATATATATATAGAGAGAGATTACAATAGAACTATAGATCGAAAAGATGTACAATACATATTAAGGGTCCCTTCGGTCATGTTAGCTTCTTATAAAGGGCAGAATGCTCCGCATGACTGCCTGTGACCCCACAACACTACCGCGACCCTTGGGGATGTGGCTTGCCAACTACTCGACCTCGGTGAGGTCGCCTCAACTCGAACTCTGTCAGGTAAGCGTTCGACCTTCGAATCTTTGAAGGGAGCCCTGTGCGCATGTCCTATGCCAAGCTGCTTGGGGATCGTTCGGCACTTCCACTATGACAGGCCCGCTACGGGCCTGGGACGTGGGTCGAGTAGACACACGTTGCGGGGTGAAACGTTTTGACCACCTGGCACAATCATTCCGGAAGCAAACACGAAAGTGGAGATCGTCCCCAACAGAATGAAAGGCCTCGGAAATAGGTCATCTCTTTTTCTGGGAGGACCATTTTCTAGCTCCGTTTTCATGTTGGACGGGCACTTCCAAGCGGAAGGTTGATCGGACGTGGTTTAAGGACGATCCCCCCTCAGTTCTTGGCATCCCGATCTGGTCGGCGCTCAGGAGGCTCCGCTTGTTCTACGTAAAGACCCAGGGTCTCCACCCAATTCGGCCCAGGAACGACCGACCGTGGCACCACCGCGTTCCGGGCGACCGGGTTCCGGACCGATCGGACGTGGTCCGGGGACGCCTTCCCGGCGGCCCTGGACCCGAACCAGCTGCTACATGTTTGAGGTCCGAAACCCTGGTTGTGAGGGGCCCTTCGGGTCAGTTTTTGGGGTGGTTTTTGAGCTGTTTGGGGGGGCAGAAAGTATAGGTGGTAATTATACATTTTCTTGAGAATCCGCTGCTCGTATCATAGCATCACCTGGATGAAACTTTGTGGATATGCACCATGCGCGGGAAATCGTATAACACCTGGTTCTTCAAAGCGGCCTGTAAAGTATGGCTCCAAAAAGGTCACGACGTTGAAGAAACTGGTAGCTATAATGTTGCAGTTCTTCCGGGTCTCGTTCTGGCAACTCTAACTGACGACAGACAATGATCCACGCCTGAATCGAAAGCACATATCACGAAAGGTAGCCCTTTAGGGGATACCTTGAGTTTGTCTTGCGAAGCAAGTGTTGGGACGTCCGGGTCTAATAATTGATCGCTCAATTCAGACCCCCCCCCCCCCCCCCCCCGACAAATCGATTTTCCAATACGGCCCCCCCCCCCCTCCCCCCTCTAAAATCAATTCTCTCCTGGAGATTCTCTTCGTGAGCCTCTCATGATTTCAGGATAGTTGAAACCCTCTTGAACATTCAGAAAGAGTGAATACGAAATTCTAATCACGAAAGGTGTTCTGTGAAGCACGTCAATTCTCTCCTGGGGAGCGTCTTCGTGAGCCTCTTATGGTTTCAGGATAGTTCAAATCCTATGATGTTCCGATTCAATGCCCACCGATGATCTGAGCCATGGGGCAAGTTTGTTTTCCTAAGAATCTTTTTGAACATTTCGAGAGCACATGTTTGAACATTTAAAGTGCATATGAACATATATGTACGAAAGGTGCCTCCGAGGGGATAAATCACCATGTCGAACATTGCATTTTTGTTCCTGCCTCTCGCGTTCTCTTTTCTTCCCGCTGTCCTACCTTTCGTGTCTCCCTCCTCTCAAGTATATATATATATATATATGCCCCAGCATCTTCGTGCCTTAGTGTCAACACGATTACACTGACTGGCAGAAACCTGTTAGCCACGTTCCAGTTCCGTGCCGAAGCTCCAGTCACAGAGAGTTGACTGTGTGGCATTGTGGCAGAGACCTACAACTCGGGGTCCAAGACCTACTTCTGCAAGAATTGGGTCTCTTCTAGCCAGAGATGTTAGCCATGTAAGCAATTATGACCTACATTTGGTGGCTTTGGGTGGTGAAGGTTGGTCATATTGGCCTACATGAATCCTTTGGGTGGCATTTTGCCATGCCATTATTCGTCGAAAGATCATCCCAACTGACTGAGGTCCAACCCCGCCCGAGACTTAGAGACTCCAATGCTTGACTCCTTGGCATGCATGCGCTGTGAAGGGCTCTTGGGCAGCTTCCACTATGGTCAGGCAGGGGGGATCAGTGCCGTGAAGGGCTTCGAACTTGGGTGCGTCCGATTTCGTTCTTTTCTCGGAGCGGATCCAGTTCCCTGAAGAAACAGACGAACAAACAGCGCGGAATGCGAGCTACTGCGGGCCACTCAGATGCCGGGAGCTCCAAGCATGGATGGATGGGTGCACGGATGGCTTGGATTTCCGATGGGGACCCTAAAGTCTGTGGCTGATGCCGAGATTGTCCGGATGTGCCAGAAGGTAAGTTCACAATAGTATACAATAGTTAGTTCACACATGATGTAGTTTGACTCAAGCCTGGTTCTTAATTTTGCCTCTTTTGCAATCGTAGAAAGCCCATCCTCCTAAATCCAACCTAGCGCCAGTCAACTGGCGAACCCGCCGCTGAACAGTCCGGTGTGCTCCATCGAACGAGTGATGTGAACAAGGGTCAAGTCGTTGTGAGACTCGGGGAGGTGGCGAGTGGTCGACTCTCATGACGACTGTTTGCGTTCGATGGATGTCGCACGGAGGTGGCGTAAAGTCGTTGTGAACCTGCGTCGGCCAAGACACATCAAACAACAACGGCCTAACTTGTGACGTGCTTAGGCCTGTTTGTGTTTGGACCCCCCCCCTGCCTGAGACTATTCAGGGAATCCCTGAATCTATTTCCGGCTTAGGTAGAAACTATTTCTAGACTAGTAGGCTATTAGTAGACATAGATCACATAGAGGCACCTCCTTTGGACACAAAACGTAACTATCAATCTGTTGCCAACATATGCAACATGTGGCACACTGTATAAACTGGTATAATGCGAAAAGCCGAATAATTTTGGCTGAAAATTGTGGCTGTCCATGACAAGTGGGCTGGTGGCAACACATATGTTCTTTTCAACTTGCACTACACCGCGAATGCATTTCCTTAGTGTATTTTGGTCCACATCATGACTTCTCCTTCACACACCTGTAAAACAGGAGCTAAAAGAGGATGCAAGAGGGTAAGTTATAAATAGTCTCTAAACAAATAAAAACATCGCATACCCCCCTCAACACACAAATGATCAAATAAAGAGGTCACCGCATGTTATAAGGCCGGCCTAACGGGTCCCTGAATTGGTTTGAACCACTTCAATCTCGCTACCAGGAGATCGAAGCTTTGTGCTTCAAACATCTTCCTCGTCCAGTGCTCAGCTTGGAAGATCAGCTCGAGATCCTTAACCGCCGGGCCAAGCTTCTGGAGATGCTCATGGGTAAACCTCCAAGGTGCATTGGTGCATCAAGCGTGTGGCATTTACAAATAGCCATAGACTCTCTCTCTCTCTCTATAAATAGATATGTGTATATTTGTAGTGCTCAACAATATAGAGTGGTGCAAACGAAGCATTTGTATAATCTCTTCTTCCCATGGCTTGCACAGCTCGGAGGACCTACACACGGCACCCCAAGACCGAGATGGATGCGCGTGATGGGGGGCTGATGAACCATCCACCAAGCCACACGCTCTTCCGTAGCCGCGTGATGCGCAGCCATGGCTTTCCCATCCACAAAGCGAGCCGCCACGTCGCCCACGCCAACGAGAACTACTTGTCAACCACCAAATCCTGAGCCTGCTCCATGACCGCACGAGACACGGCCCAGGGCGTGTGTTCTGTTTAGACCATTTGGTGGGTTGGTCTGCAAGTATGGGGGCCAAAGACCTCTAGACCAAGACCGTTGATCATGATCACAGTCTTGTTTCTGGGATGATGTGTCAGCGTGCTGCCTAATACGGGCCAGACGCGTTGGCAGCTTGCGTGCTGAGCAGAAAAGCATGTGCTGCAGATGCGAGAGAGACCGTTCCTACGTGTTGGTCTTTTTGCATAAAAGCCCAGGGGGGATGCACATTAAAATGGTTTTTGGTTTGCTAAAGTGGACTCTATTTGCATAGCTTTTTTGAACATCGTGGTATGGGTTGAACAGATGAGCTTCTATCACCCGATGCACTAGTAGAGGTCACACTGGTGCACACTGGGTAGGTTCGGTCTACCGTTGTGAAGGATTAGGTGCTAACATGCTCGATGGGCCAAATCCTTCTTTAGGTCCAGGCAGCTGCCATGTTACTCTTTTCATCGCTTTTCACTGCTTGTTGAACGTGGACTCGACCGTTTTGGTGACAGACCTGGAGTTGCCCAGTGTGAGACGTTCCTATTGTGCAATTCAACCACCAACAAGTCTAACAAGGGCACGATCTTCATGAACCCCTGTGGCAATATTTGCACCTCTCCGCACGACCCACCTTCCGCCCTTGCCGCGCCCCATCGCCCAAAACGTCCCTTTTCCCCACACCGATGGCGATCGGAACGGGTCGGAACGCAGACGCCAGGAACACCATCTCCAAGTTGCACTTGGTCGACCTGGCCGGCTCCGAGAAGACGGGCAGCGACGAGCGGAAGCATTTGAAGGAGCACCGACACCGCTCGGCCGCGGTGGACCGGAGTGGGCATCACAAGAGAGAAAACAGCGACCATCCGGGGGTATCACCATTTCAGAGGAAAAGTTTTGGGAGTATCAGCCATCCATTGGGTATTATGGTATCACCATTCAGTGATCCATTTGAGACAAGGGAATTGTCTTTTTTGGTATTGGATTACCGTAAACGCTTCCCCCCCATACTGCGCCCCGTGCTGTGCCTGAGCTGACATCCTTGGAAACTGGGAGCGCTGCGGTGTTTGGGTATCCCACTTGTTTGATCCAATCCCAAGTTTGGGATCAAGATGCATCAAGTAAGTAAAGACAATTACATAATTGGGCACATGTGCAGACGACTCCGCACGTGCAGAGTCGAAGCGCAAGAAGTAGAGCGCCCCCCCGCCTGCTGGGCCTGCCCGCCTGCGACTCCACGCGACTCCACGCTTCGGAGAATCAGGAGAACGCCAACATCAACAAGTCCTTGAGCGTGCCTTGGATTGTTAGTGTACGTGAAGGTATGGTCAAATGGATCACTCATGATCTCTCCCCTGCAGATAAACATGGAATCCCCAAAACCACTGGGTTGCATAGAGGAAAATAGATTCTGTGGGTCAATTCCCTCGGTCCATTTTTTTGCGCGGGGGTACTTGTGTTTTTTGGTTCCCATCACTGCGGGGACATGCCAAAAGCATCCAAAACCGTGCTTGGCTCGATCTGTTACTTGTTTGTCCCGACTGCTTAACAGCCCTCCACAAGTTCGGAGAACATGCCAGGCTATGAAGATCTATACCGAAAAGGACTTGGACACCCGATGTCACATTCTAGTTTGTGTAAAGTTCTTCCTTCAATAGTCAATCAAGGTTGCAAACCATGATCTTGAGTGTTGAGCCTGGACTGTTGAGCTTCCTGATATCACCTGGAGGTATACCGATATCACCTGGATCAAACGAGCGTCCCAGATGTGCCAACATGTGCCAACCATTCCCTGTGTCGAGACCGACAGCTAGGCGTTGGGCAACGTGATCAACGCCTTGAGCTCTGCGAGCTCTGTCGCTGGTGGCGTCAGGCGAGTTCTTTTTTTCCTCACAGGTAATTGATATAATATATATAGTTTTATTTATATATATCTCTCACTGCTGTCTTGGTACCTTCAGCTCCTTTGCTGTCAGGGCCATTCCTCTTAGGTGCTTGGGCGAGCCCCACGAGCGAAGGGTTGGCCGTATCAACTTGAATCATTTTCTCATTGCCA